ATCTTTTTTTTTTTTTTTGTAGATACAAATGGTTGAAATGGCAGCAAACCCCCCAAGCAAGCCAGAATTGTATATTACCTCTGAATGATTATGTGAAGGCAAAAGTGTTTTTCCAAGAGCTGTTTTTTTAGTTATGTTTGTAAGTGACAGACGAGATCACAGGAATAGAGAATGCCACCAGGCAAAGGCAGAAAGCACTAACAACTGAGTATGTGTTGGGACTGTAATGCTGAGTGCTGGGATTGTTTCTGAGCTAACTGTGGCAGGAGAGAAACTTGAAGCTGTGAGAAGTCCTTGTTTGCTTCCTGCTGTGTTCAGGAAAGCAGGAGTTTTCCTGTTCTTGGTGAACAAAACCAAATCAAAGTAGTGCCTGAGAAACTCTTCAGCCCTGTGCAGTCTCCTGAACTCAGAGGAGATCTGAAATATTTGACATTTGAAATCCATGTGAGCCCTTTGTTACTCCTCTGTCCCCAGCATTTGTGAACGGGTGACCCCTCGGCTGTCCCATGCCAATTCTGCAGTGGTGCTGTCAGCAGTGAAGGTCTTAATGAAGTTCCTGGAACTTCTTCCCAAGGATTCTGACTATTACAACATGCTGCTGAAGAAACTTGCCCCTCCACTGGTGACCCTGCTGTCTGGAGAGCCTGAAGTTCAGTATGTTGCCCTGAGGAACATCAACTTGATTGTGCAGAAAAGGTAAAGGCTCAGGGGTGTTATTCCTGCATTGTTGAAGGGCATCTGGTTATCTCAGACCTTCAGATATTTCCACATGTACAGAATTTCATTTAATCCAGGCTCAGATCCCTTGAGAGACAGATTAAACAGCCTCATGACTCTGGTAGCCTGAATTAATTTTCTTTACAGCATACTTGTGATACCAGTTTCATACAGTATTTCTTTACCTGCCTCTCTTCACTGCCTTTTCATGAGCAGTCAGAGCTGCCCTCTATAAATCAGGTTGCAGATAGGAATGAGGGTGTAACTGCAGTTCATAGTGACCTGCAGGAACTCTGTGTGCCTGCGCTGTTCTTTTCAGTGTGACAGAACTAGGCTGGTGTACAACAGTGGGTTGGTTGTTTTTTCACCAGTTTACTCCTACGTGCATGTTTTAGTGCTGTTTTCCTTGCTGGAAAGGTGGGACAGGTTGGAGAGCACTTTGATTGTATGCAGGGCAGAGTTATTGTGCACTGGCATCTTGAAAGTGAAAGGAGAAAATGAGTTTGTAGGTGGATTTTGCATTCAGCTAAGGACATTGTTCTTTCACTGAAAACAGTCATCCACTGACTTCCTGCAGTATTTAGCTCAGCAGTTCAACAGGAGGAAGTAGAGTTGTAGGCATAGGGAAAAGACTTGAATTCTGCATTTTCATAGAATCATAGAATTTAGGGGTTGGAATGGACCTTACAGATCATCTAGTCCCAACCCCCTGCCCTGGGCAGTGACACCTCACTAGATCATGTTGCTCAAGGCTCATCCAGCCTGGATTGAACACCACCAGGGTTGGGGCAGCCACCACATCCCTGGGCAACCTGTGCCAGTGTCTCACCAACCTTACAGTGAAAACCTTTTTTCTCACATTCAGCCTAGAGTTCCCCTCCTTCAGTCTGAACCCATTTTGTGTCAAAACAATTTTTTTATCCAGCCTTCTTTCACCAAATTGTTGATTGTTTGCATGTCCTAGACACAAAATCATAGAATCCTAGAATGGTTTGGGTTGGAAGGGTCTTTAAAGATTGTCTAGTTCCAACCTCTTTATAAGTTCCAGCCTACCTGTGGGCAGGGACACCTTCCACTTAGACCAGGTTACTCAAGCCTGGTCTTGAACACCTCTGGGGATGGGGAGTCCCCGGCTTCTCTGGGCAGCTTGGGCAAAATGACACCATTCTGTTTCTCAGTGAATAATTGGGTGGGTTTCTAAAGAGAAGGTGCCTTAGCTTGCAATAGAGTCCATTTAGGCTTTTACCAGTCTTGAATGATATAATGTTATGTTCCCTCCAGGCCTGAAATCCTGAAGCAGGAAATCAAGGTGTTCTTTGTCAAGTACAACGACCCCATTTATGTCAAACTGGAGAAACTGGACATCATGATCCGCCTGGCTTCCCAAGCCAACATTGCCCAGGTCAGCTGAGGGACTTCTGATGTGTTCTGGGGATGGAAAACCCTCTCATAATCCTCATCTGAGGATGTATGCAGCTACTACAAGTGTTTTCCTGGCTTTTAGGCATCAGTGCTCTTTGCAGCTATTTAATGGGAGGTGTTGGAGTTTCCTCCATAATTTAAATGTTAATAGCATGCTGTGGCTTTGCATCGTGACGTTAGGTAGATCTTGTTTCACAGATCACAATTCCAGGAGGAGAGCTGATGTCTCCTGTCAAGTGAGTCACTGCTAGTGCTGAGGTTGGAATGAGAGGCTTGTTTTAAGTGAGAGTAGTGTGCCTCTAACAGAGGCATTCAGAAAGGCCAAACATTACTAAAGTGTGAATTTCAAGTTAGTGAAATTGTTAAATGCTTGCACAGGCACTCTACAGAGCTCAAAAACTTTTCTTTTTTTCTTTTTTTTTTCTTTTTTTTCTTTTCTTTGCTTAACTTGATTCCAGAGTGGAAATAGCTCAGGCTAAACTGAATTGAGTCTGCTTTACAGTGTTAGATTCTTCTTGTCTTTGATGTTTTAATCCAAATTTCTTTCTCAGAGGAAGTGTTCTCGAGTGCATCCCTGGCCATAAGGTCTAACACTAATGCAGAATGATTAATGCCTCTGGTTAGTGCTATTATTGTCCTATCCTAATTGTCACAGAGCAGTTTCATTTAACGTGACATTTTCAAGCAGCTCTCTTCAGCTCTCTCCTGATGTTTTTTGGAGCAGAGTAAGGTAATTCATGCCCCTTTTGTGCTGGGGACATGGAAAACATTTCACAAATCAGTTTCCATGAGAATACATTCAGAATTTCCTCTTGGTAGGCTCCATAGCAATTTCAATACAGAATGTTCTGATAATGTGGGCTGGTTGGATGAAAGGCAGTGGTGTCTGGAGGGCAGAGTCTGGGACTGGGATCTGCAGACTAATGAATGAATCTCTCCCTGATTCTGAAGAGGCATTCATAAACCAGCCCAAGCTTCATCAGGAATATCTCCTGAAATGAGACCCGAGGAGAGCAGCTTCTACCCACGTCCTCTCCATCTCCATGCCTGTTCCAGACCAAGGCAGCAGGCTGGTTCTGCCCCAGGCTCTCAGACTAGGGCACTATTTGGAAAACATCAGCTGTTAAACCTGGGTGCTCTAAGTGCTGTGCAATACACATCATCCCAGGAAATAATAGAACTTCAAAACACAGATGTCCCAGCTCCTCCTTGCAGATTTATCTGTCTGCAGTCTGGTCCTTCACGGCCTCTTTATCTTGTCGTTGTTCTGAGCAATTTGCTGCCATGAGATATTTTTCAGAGAACTGTCTGGCTTTGGCTGTTCACCTCTCCCTCACAATCTGTTTGTGACATCACAATTAAATCCCTGATGTCATGTTTGGCATGAGAAACTGAAATAAATTGAGCTTTTGAGTGAATATAAATGACATAGGGTCTTTTATTAAAATAATTTTTCTAAGCTAAATGATTTAAGAGAAAGGTTTTTAGTTAAAGGTCTGTAAAATCCCAGCAGGTTCTGGTTTAAGACCTTCTTCAATTTCCATTAGCAAAAACACTGAGACAAAATAGTAAATCTTATTCTTAAGAAGGGATGTATCTTCAAACTGTTATTAATCTCTGTATAGATCTTTCAGGGTGTCCTCAGATCTCCTCTGGGTTCAGTAGGGATCCAAAGGTTCATCTCAGCACAGAAAAGGAGAGATCAAAAATGGTTGTTGCCAAGAGCTTTGCATGCAGTGAATTTATTTTCAGTGTAGGAAGGAATAGCAACATTGAAGTTTGGCAGGGCTGATTTTTTTCCCTTAGCTTTTGTTCAGGGAAATTTGAAAACAAGCAGGACTGAGCCATCTTTTGGTTTTGGCCAGGCTAAGCCAAGTGTCATCCAAACCAGACGGTTCAGAGATTGCAACTGATTGCAGGGTTTGATTGTGTTGGCTTTGGATGTGTGTGGACGTGGAAGAACATCCTGCTTGTGTTCTGGTGTTCGAGTAGCATCACTTGTGAGAGTGGGATATTGTCTCTGTGTGACCCCAGGACTCAGGTTGGTGTGGTGTCTCCACAGGTCCTGGCAGAGCTCAAGGAATATGCGACTGAAGTGGACGTTGACTTTGTGCGCAAGGCCGTGCGAGCGATCGGGCGCTGTGCCATCAAGGTTGAGGCAAGTATCTGAACCTTGAGGTTTTCTGTGATCCTCTGGCTTCAGAAACAAAGATGGGCTTTGCCACCTCATTTCCATGTTACACAAAGTTTCTTTGCTTCTGTGTTGGCAATCGAGTGACTTTGATACATCACACCCATGGGCAGAGCACCAGCTGGACAATAGGGCTTGTGAGCTGGAGTACATCACAGGAGGGTTTGTGCTCCTCTCACATCTCAGCTGGCAGGCAGAGCATGGCAGATAATTCATCTTTGATGGAATATTTTACTGCACTGGCTTCAGTGGAACAATGACCACTTATCCATGAGGACTGCCCTTAATAGCTGTGCCCTGACCTTTTGAAGGGGAAAGAAGAAGAGATTGTGCAGAGAAACTTGGTATTATGAAACATTTTGTGTCGTCTCTCCCCATCGTTTCAGCTGAATAGCACACACAGGCATAGAATTACAGAGATTTGGGGCACTGAAGTGCAATTTATATGAACACAGAATGACTATTTGCTTACCTAGTGTTAAAGGTCCATATAGCACGTGGCTTTATTTGGAGTATGCTCTCCTTAGCCTAGATGCTTATGCAAATAATTTCCCAAGAACCTCAGCAGTTATTCAAAACAACAGTCTGAAGTGTCCTCTGCCAGTTCAACATCCACCAAAATGCTCAGAATATTATTTTTTTAGTGATGTCTCAGTTAATTTCCCTGTAAGTGAATCTGAAACACCTGACAGGAGTTCAGAAAGCCTGTGAAGAGAGGGAAGATTTATGCTGTGGTGGTGGTACTTTTCAGCAAACTGATAACTGAGTGCAAAATGTCACGTAAGTGGTCTAATTTCAGCTGAGCTCATTTAGCTTTTGCTAAAGTGTGTTCCCATGAGCATTGCCTGACAGCAGATTTAAATAATAACCTAATCATGCCTGGCTTAGTGTGGTGTCAGTGCACAGGTTTCTCTTGTTTCAGCTAAACTACTGTAAGTCTGTCTACAGAGGATGCCAACTTTGCTCCTCGTGAGAGAATTGACTGCCCATACAGCCTTCTCTTCCTTCCTTCAGCTCTTAAAGGCTTATCTCTGCCCTGGGCTTTCTTTTGAAGCCTGGCCCCATGGAGCAGGTGACTGCTGCTTCTGTTTCATGTCTGCAGTTCAAAATACCAGAGCACTCCTTCCACGATGCATCCAGGCAGGAGGCTGTGTGGATGGAGCCACTGCAGTGACAGTAGAAAATCCCCTTGAGCATGGAAGAGGGCTCCAGAGAAGTTAAAAGAAGCTGCTGACAGCCCTTTTTTGTAGCAGTGCTGTGCTGGGGGGTGGGAGTTTGCTTTAGTTCTCAGCAGGGACTTTCTCACTAAGGTTTGGACATGTGTCTGTCCTAATTTCACATGGGGGTGGTGTATTGCTGCAGTATCAAGGTGTTTTTATGAGTTTTTACCCTTTCCTGCCCTCATCCCCTACATTTTTCCCCATCCCTGATGCCATGAGAGTCATATTCAATATGCAGAGAACTGATAATAATGTCCAGCAAATTTGCAGTGACCTCTAACTAATTGCCTCTCCATAACTAGTGTTAAACTTGATTTTTAGCCCTGCTCCACTGAAGACACTGCTGCTAAAGATAAGGTTTGTTTCCTGCTCTGACAAGAGGCAGATTTAAAGAGGGCAAATATAGAACAACTCATTACAGTATCCTCATCTCTAGGTTAATCCCTGTCCCCAGTGCATCTGTGTTTACTAGAGGCTGTTTACACTGTGAGTTATGACTAATGGAAGAGCACTCTCTCAGCCTTCAGTGTCCAAGTTCCCAAGGCTTAGAAATCTGCTTTTTGACACAGGACCCAGCCAGTGGGAGCTGTTGATGAATGAGTATTCACAGGGCACTTCAACTCTGCCTTTCTAGATCTTACCTTTTGTCTAATTGTCTTTCCTAGGAGAGTAAGACAGTAAATAAATTGGTGTGCTGTGAGGGGCACCACAGAGCAAAGGTGGTGTTACCTTTGCTGTGCAGTGTGTGTGGTGCTGACAGCAGAGCTAGTGCTCCTTTTGGAAACGGAAGCAATGCCTATGCTGAATAGCAAGGCTGATGGATTTTACCAAGGCTTGAGTAGTCATTTCCTTTTGAGGGAATGCCAGAACGTCATTTTGCATGGATAGGGCAGGGCTATGGTAGCTGGGCCCAGAGTTAAACTTGGGTATGTCTACAGCAAACCCTGTGGTGTAGCTACACTTGTATCTGGCTTGTGCATCAGTTTGCTCCCTTGCGAGCACTAGATGAAGTTATCATGCCATGCTTTGATTGTAAGAAAACCAGGCACCACTCCCATGGGAAAAGGTAATGAAGTGAATGCAGTAAGAACAGGGATTCCTCTGGAGCAAAGGAGAAGCAGAAGGAGCCATATTACAGGGAAATTTCTTGTTTCTAGGAGATTCTGCCAGCAGCCTGGTTCTTAGAAATCATCGAGGCTTATGGCTGGCATGATATGTGCTACTTCAGTGATCTTGTGGGCTTTCATTTGGCTTCTACGGAAAAACAAAGCAATTTTGACATTGGCTGATTGTCCTTCCTTACTCCAATTTGAAAGCTGTTCTAGTTGGGACACTTTCATTACTTCACAGAGCACTGCAGTCCCCAGGGATGTCCATCTTCAAAAGCAATGTGTTTACAAGGGATGGGTGAGCTGAGATCTGTTTTGTTAGAGGGACTGCTCTTCTGGGCATGCACCCATAGCTGCTCACTTTCTGTGGGACTCTTGGGCTGAAAATCATTGCTGCATATTTCCAAGTGGCTGTTGTGCTCTTCCTGGAAAAATCATGCTTCAAAGTGTCTAAAGAAAAGAAAACTAAACCTTAATTTGTTTTTCCTTGAATTCTGCAGCTCTTAAAGCTTTGCTAGTTGTAGGCTCTGACAGGGCCAAATGGCTTCTTGCCAACAGTGTTTGGTGCTGCAGGTTCTGTAGGGTAGAGTTGCCTTAGGACAGATTTAGCCCAAGTGCCCCTTAAGGTCACTTATTAAAACATCTGGTAAAAGTTGCTGAGATGAAGAGATGAGGTTGCAAGCTCTGAAGCATCGATCTTCATCTCTGAAGCATCTATCTTGCAAGGGCTCTGAGCAGGGCTCCCACTGTGAGCAGTGTCAGGCTGTGTGGAGCCAGGTCCATGGTCAGGCTCCATTAAGTGGAAGAGTCTTCTAGGTCACAGACCTCAAATCTCTTCTGGAGCAGAGGAGACCAGAGCAGGACTTTGTCAGGTTGCCATTTCACTGCCTGCATAGTGGCATAATACCCATAAAGCCATGCTAAGGAGGGAAAGGTATCATAAAAAAATATGCCAATCATGCAGTTTTACGTGATCCCTCTCTTTATTCTGACACCAACTGTATTGGATATTTTTTCTGTTTGGTGAGAATTTCAGGGGAGAGTCTTATGACCTACTGCTAGTTTGCAAAGACTGAGCAAATGCTGGTTTATGGTGTCGCTTCCCTTGACCATCACAGCCCCTGTCTGTGCTGATAGGATATGTGTAAGATCCCACAGCTAGTCACGAGGGCAGGGAATTGCCAAGAGGTTTTAGTCTCTGCTTGACCCAAATTCAGCTCTACAAGTCTTGAGGTTTGTCCTTGAGATTTCTGCCCATTCTCCAAAAAACTGATTCCTGGGACTGAAATGCCATTTCATTCCTGTTCCTCCTGCTCAGCCTTCAAGTGCTCTGAAAGTCAAAGGTTCTATTAACTCACTGGAATTGAAAAATCCACCTACATTGCTATTGTTTGTGCCCTACAGTGTTTGTCTCAATCCTGAATGCTTTATGAATGTTCTGATGGTGACTGCCTAGGCAGTGTTGGGAGCAGGCTGCTTCTCACATCAATCACCAGCTGTGTAATGAGGCTTCATATGTGCTCTGCTAATAGCCAAATCATTGTCCTTATTTGAGACTCTCTGGTGCTGAAGTTGGTTGCTCCTGTGATGTCCTGCCTCACTGGGCTGTTTGGGAAAAGACCTCCCTGGATTATTTGCCTCTAACTCCAGTGCTGGTTCCTGGACCATGACAGTGTTCAGTCCTTGTTATCTTACAGTGCCTGTGGATTTTGAACTAATTAATGTGAAAGCTGCATTAGCAACAGTTGGGTTTCTTTTTTTAGCTGTATCTTCGCACATTGCTTGTGACCTCACCCCAAAAGTACTGAACCTATTTCTGCCGTGAGCTGCTTTTTGCTGCTGTTCTTGCAGTGTGATTGACAGCATGGTTTTCTCCTGCCTTTTAGTTTCCCAAGACACCTTCCAGCAGTGCCTGTCAAAACTGTCCCAGCTCTGATTGCTACAGCTTGGGAAGTCCAAAAGAGCTTACTTGGTGGCCCACTTAGCTGCTAGTCAGCAAGAGGGTGATAGCAGTAGCAGTGCAGGCAATGTTCTCAAGGTCTCTTGTGTGGTGACCCAACCATCTACTGGCATGGTTGCTTCAGACTTACTTTTTGCAGGAGCTGGAGTCAGCTGTTATCTCCCCTGTAATACACAAGCATTTGTCAACCTGCAGGGTTTTTTCTGGACACACATATCAGGTTGATAGCTACTGTCCTCTCATTTTCCTGCTCTGAGCCTTTTCTCATATGCCTCGGTCCTTGATGTGTGCTGTGGGCTCAGGAGTGCTTCTCTAGCTTTTTTAACTGTGTTTTTCTGTTCTCTCTAGCAATCTGCAGAGCGCTGTGTGAGCACACTGCTAGACCTCATCCAGACCAAGGTCAACTATGTGGTCCAGGAGGCCATTGTTGTCATCAGAGACATCTTCCGCAAGTACCCCAACAAGTACGTGGTAGTAGTAAAGGTTTTTTTTAATCCCTTCTCTGCTCTCATCAGAATAGAGCAATGTAAACTCACTCAGCGTAGCTTACCAGGGCTCCAAAGCAAAGGGGGAAGCAGTGTCCATTCTGATTCCACTCCTGCTTTGGTAGGATTCAGATGTTGGCTCTAGATGAGGTAACAGCCTGACTCATTATTAGTTTGAATTGAAAGCTTTTTCTTTCCCACCACTCCATATTGATGCTGAGTAGAAGCCTTAATCATAAGCTAGTAAAGCTCTTGCAGAAAATGCCAGAAGGAAAATTTGGCCGAGTTTACAGCATCAGGCTTTTCTGCTTTTGCTTGTCTCCTCTAGAAGACTCATATACAAGGCCATGAAAGTTCATGGCTCTCATGGTCTGAGATCCCAGTCAGATTGTGCTGAACTTCTGGCTTTCTTCATCATGTGTGCTCTCTGGCTTGGGCAGAACTCAGTTTCTTTTGTGCTATTTCTGCAATAAGATTATGTCTTCTCAGCTGCAGAACAGCAACAACGTTTTTCAGCAGAGACTTTATGATCACCTAAAAAGTAATATGGGACATCTGCAAGTCTCTCTGGCAATTTCTGCTGTCAGTTACAAGACAGATTGCCTGCCTGCCACAGGGATACCCACGCACGGGAATAGGGGAAGCTAAATTAGTGTGGGGTATTGTCTGTTTTACAGTAAAGCCTTTGGGGAATCTAATATCCAGTTCAGAGTTACCAGTCTGAACACTCCAGTGAGGCTGCAGGATCTGATTCAGACTTGTGGTTTGAACTGTTGGATCAAATGTTCCTTTACCCAACAGAACAGGAGGCAACTTTGTCTTGAATTCCACTTCTGAGTGGTCTTGCTGATTAATGAAACCGCAAAGACCCTGTGAGATCTTAGTGCTCAGCTTGGAAAAAGAAAAAGCCTGGGAGTGTCTTCTATAGTTGAGTGAAAATGCTGCTGGTTGCATAGAAATACAAGATACTTAGTGCAGGATTCCCTGCAGAATGATGTGGGCAGAAGTGGAGTAACACAAGTGAAATTCACCCCAGTAATCCACCTGTACTCTGACAAATCAGGTACGAAAGCATCATTGCCACTCTGTGCGAGAACCTGGATTCCCTGGACGAACCAGATGCCAGAGCTGCCATGATCTGGATAGTGGGTGAATATGCAGAGAGAATTGACAATGCAGATGAGCTGTTGGAGAGTTTTTTGGAGGGCTTCCATGATGAAAGCACTCAGGTAAATTGTGTTGTGCATCTTATCATGCAGTCTGTGTATGGGGTGGACAGTTAATACTGTTGCAGTGATCAGCAAATACCTCCCAATGAAAACTTCAATATCTGGCAAAAATGAAACTATTGGGAGTCTGTAGATTTGCTCTGTTGTCTGTGTCTCTCAAACTTCGGTCTGTAGATTTGCTCTGTTGTCTGTGTGTCACAAACTTCTCTTCTTGAAAGGATAAGACAGAACACGAGGGGTTTCTAGAGGTTTCATACTTCTTGGGGGAGTAACCCTACTAGGGACCAGAACATAGAGAAGAACAGAGATGAGATGTATCACAGTACAGCACAACTACTAGGGACCAGAACATAGAGAAGAATAGAGATGAGATGTATCACAGTGCAGCACACACCTCAGTGTGCTGCTCAGGGAACTGTCTGTGCAAGTGTTTTACAACAGACAAGAGTCTGAGTCTCATTGTGCTGGGTTTCACTGCCAAAGAAGAGTATAATGCTGTTATGAAACTCAAGACTTACACTTTATATCAGTGAAGGATGGCGAGACTGGCGAGACATTAGAAAACTCATCCATGCTTCAACAATCTCTTCTGTGTCCCTTTTTCTTAGGTGCAGCTCACCCTCCTGACTGCTATAGTGAAGCTGTTCTTAAAAAAGCCTTCTGAGAGTTTCAGCAGGTCCTCAGCCTGGCCACACAGGTAAGCCAAGATATCCAGTGCCCCAGAGCCCTCCAGACACTGTGTTGGCCTGTGTGGTGTCTCCCATCTGCCAGGCCAGTTAGCTCTGCAGTAGACTGGATTCAAGTGGGTTCCCCTCTCTCCCTAAGTGACTTTGTGTAAGAACTGTACTGTGCCTCTTACCATCTGGCACCTGCTCTCTCATTCTTAGTTCTTGCTTCATCCAAATTCCTTCTCCATTCCCCCACTAAATGGAAAGTTGGGTCAGGGCAGAGTTATCAAGAAACCACAATGCTTTCTCCTTGTAAATGCCTTGCAGTTAAAACATCTGGAGCTATGATAGAAGGAAAGAGCCTGGCCGAGACTGTTCTGTGAACAGCAAAGCTTAAGCAGTGTTGTGGAAAAGAAAGAACCCTGGTTTGGGTTTTTTCCTTTGTACTTGGATGCTGTCAACCAATGTGGCAGCTTTGCTGGAGGCTGCAGCAGTGGGTTAAGATCCCAGATTGATTATGCATGAAGTGCTGAGTTATGAGCACAGATCACTGCAGGCAAAGCTGGGCTTGAGCTGGCAGACACAAGTGCTGTAGTTCTGGAGGATAGAAGTGGAGATGTCCTGGTGGCAGGGGTGGGTGAGACTTCAGCCAATCCTCCTACACTCCCTGACTGTAATACTGGGGTAAAGGGCCCAAAAAGAGCAGCTCCTCTCCAGACCTGCTGTGTCAAGTGATAAAATTAGTCTCACAGCTAAATGGGCTGAGATTGACTCCAGGTTTTCTGCTCAGAAACAACCATCAGCTGGCCTTTTTCATCCTCTGTGCTGCAAGAAGTCATGGCTGTGCACTTATTAGTACTTAAAACTTTTATTCATCCTTTTGGTGTGTTGCATTTGTCAGCAGCAAGAAATCCATGGCCTGTTTTTCTTGCTTCAAAAGCTGCTATTAGGCAGGATCTCAGCTGCTCTTTAGAGAGCAGTGGGCCAGCAGTGGGCTTGCTGTATCATTTGCCAACAGAAGAAAGGTACTAAGTGCTAAAACCCACTGTGCTGAGTCACAAAACACTTAATGGCACCCTAGGAATGTAATAGGCGTCTGTTTCTTCTCTGTTTGTCACAAATGTTGATTCAGTCTGGCTTCTTGTATTTTATATGAATAATAAGTCAATGTAGGATAACTGGCTGTAAAGCACAAAAAAGCCTTATGCTTCAGGGCCTGATTTCTAGGTGGATATACTGTTTTTCACTTGAGTGGGAGAGTAATTACACGTGTGTTTCTTTCCCCAGCTTAGGTATTGTTGCACTTTGAGTGTCTCAGGGTAAGTCTGCAGAGCAAACCGCAGGTGTGATCGTAGCAGGAGTTAGCTTAATCCAGCCAACACTGGTAAAAATAGCAATGAAGCAGCTGGGGATGGAAGGGACAGATATGTAGCAGGGACTGAGGTCCCTGGCAAGCCCATAACCCATAACAGATCTCTCCATCCCCATTGTTGTTGTCAGTCTGGCATGGGTGGGGAGCTGAGCTAGCAAGTGTTCATTGGTATGCAACAGAGGTGTGCATGCACCTGGAGAGCAGAGGACTGGGGGAGAAATGTGGAAAGGGAAGATCTGAGCCTCTTGTTTCAGTAGGTTTACTAAAGTTTCAAGTCTGTTTATTTGCCTGTAGGAAGAAACAGTCAGTCTTGAATCTGTGTGTACCTACAAGTAGGTAGGGGTATGTGGTCTTTCATGTCTGCCCTTGCAGAATTCCTGCCTGATCTTGAGCTGCCTGCTGCAGGCAGGATGTGGGGAATCCTGTAGGGATTGTTAAGGGCAAAGGGTGTAAAGAGTTTATAACTCTACCATCAAATAAAACCAGCACTCCAGAGAAATCTTCTGTTGTCACAGACGTCATATCTAGGTCCTTACAGGCAAAATGAACTTAGCTCTGTCTCATTCCAAATCGAGGTTTTACTGTGTGCCTGAGAATGTAGTGAGACAAACAGAAGAGAGGCAGGTTCTAGCAGGTCAGCAACAGCATGAATGAGATCACAGAGGAGGAAAAGAAATACCAAGAGGAAGGCTGAGGTGTACAATACATTGACAGAAAAAAAGCCCTCAGAAACTTTTATGCTGTTATTCTGCTGATGTGGAGATTAAAATTCTCAGCTTTTGTTTCCATTGCACTACAATATAAAACCATACCACCTCCCTCTCCCTAGAACATTAGCTGCAAACCATCACCACTCAGTTTGGTGCTCTGGGCAGAGCTGCTCGAAAAGGAGAGAAATGATTAGCACTTCATGCAGAGGCAAAAGTATCTGCAGTAAAACAGGGTGTTTTCGACAGCTGGAGAATTGGAGTATCCTAACTCTGTATCATTAGCATCTTTCTATACTTCGTTAGATAGCTAAAAGGCAGGATAAATAAGATCTCTTTCAGTATAAAGAATATGGCTTATTAAGATGTAGCTCTGCAGCATCTTTTTGTCCAGAAGTGCCCTTGGGCAAGTTGTATATTTCCAGGAATCTTGGATCATTGTTTCAATATGCAGCGTTGTATGTCTACTCTTATTATGTGACAGTCATTTCCAATCACATTCTTTCCTCCTGTCTGCCCCCCCTTGGAGTTCTCCTAATACTTTGTTACATCAAGTGGCAGGAGAGTTTGGAAAGCAGCTGATAGCTCTGTGGTTTGGGGCAATTGTGGGATGTAATTCCTCAGCTTTGTTCTCCCTGATGAGCTGAGCAGGAAGCCAGGCATTAATTAATACTTCAGTTTTTAATGTTGGGGTGTCCATCACAACGAGCAGTTTGTAACATCATTTTGAAATTGGTGACTGTCACTGCTGGATGGTTGGGTTTTTGTTAATCTAGCAGAATCACTGCTAGAGGCAAAAATAGTGATTACACAGGCATTTTGTTCTCTTCAGACCTGTGAGTGATGTATTGCTTTGTCCTAGGATTCTGACAACCCAGACCTGCGGGATCGTGGCTACATCTACTGGCGCCTTCTTTCCACGGATCCAGTGACTGCCAAAGAAGTGGTCCTCTCAGAAAAACCACTGATTTCTGAAGAGACTGATCTGATTGAGCCAACCCTGCTCGATGAGTTGATCTGCCATATTGGGTCTTTGGCTTCTGTGTACCACAAACCACCCAACGCGTTTGTGGAGGGAAGCCATGGCATCCACCGCAAGCACCTGCCAATTCACCATGGAAGGTAAGCTGATTCAGCCATGGGGATAATGGGATTCTTGGTTGTTTCTTTCTCAGCAAACATTCCAAAAGATGACAAGATCTTTTAAGACGTTAGTGGGATTTTATTGGTAGTGTAGGGGCTTGCAGATCATTCAAGAGGCTGTTTCATTGCTGAATGTAATCCTGGGCATGTAGTTTCCAAGTTTCTGGATCAGAAGACACAGGAAGTAACAAATTTTTTGTGTGAGGAGAAGCTGTGATGTTTTTTGAGAAGACATTGACTATAATCTCTCATGGCATGAGAGTTTGAATAAAAAAGCAGAAGCTTTGGATAACTGGTGCAGGGGCTTACCCCCAGGGGAGAATGACTAGAGTAAGAACAGGCATCTTTCAGGAGGATACACTTGGATTTTGTAAGAACTTTTGCTTCAGCAACAGTACAGCTTTACAAGCCTGTCTCCTGGAACACAAGGTTAGTTTCCTGGAATAGGGAAGTGCAGGGATCCTTTGGTGTTGGAATGTGAAGTGGAGAAGAACTGGTAAAACTCCCTTTGTCACTTGGTGCCTATAAAGTAAGGAATGGCAAAAAGCCCTCTAAACACCATCACTGAAAACTGTGAAGACTTCAGAGAAGAGGGGTAGACTGATATGGTTCTATCTAAGTCTAACCCTTGGGGAGTGGGGGGAAGTGACTTGGAATATTGCCTGGAACTTCAGTGCTTCCCTGTGATCAGTCCTGGCAGTGGGTTAGGTCTGCAAGAGCAGGCAGCAGTAGTCCCAGGCTGCAGTATAGTTGCTGTTGAGGCTGTTCCCATGGTTCCTCATCCAGGTGAGAAGTGCTATAGCACTAATGGTATTAATTACAGAAGTGAATGTGCTTTGCAGCAGGAGGCAGAGTATCTAGGCTTACCTCTTAATAATATTCCCAAAGTGACATTTGCAGCACTATTTTTTGCAGTTGTACTGATAAATCAGTGTGCTTTGCTGCTGCTTTTCTATTTTCTGACACCACTTCTTTGCTATTCTTAGCAATAAAGCTATTTCTGTGATGACTGGCTTTGGGAAGCTGAGTTGTTTTCTCCCTGCCTATGAAATCAAGTCTGGCTGCACTGACCCAGAATCAGCAAGCACAAGTCTAGCAGTCAGACAAGAAAAGCAATGGCCACTTTCCTGCCTCTCCTAGTCAAAGATTTGTCTCAAAATGAGCTGCAGGAGCTTTGGTCTTTGGTTTTATCAGCCTGACTGTACTATGTTGTTTCATGTCACTACAGAAACTAACATTTTAGAGGGATTTAGCTCAAGAAATTCAGCTTTCTGGAGGAATAGGGTTTTACTAGCTTCTTGTGTATACTGTCTGCGTGCTTGACTGTCGTAGCTCATGCTCAGTCTGCTGACCTTAAATCTCTTCTGATTATAGCAGAACCATTGCTTCAACATAAAACCTCCAGGCCTCAATCAGCAGTGGCAAGCTGAGGGAGCCAGAGCTGGGGGAAGGTCTTAAGGTGCTCAGCTGAGCACACTGCATACTGATCATGCTGATGCAGTGCTCAAGCCCATTTGGTAAATAAAAAAAGAGTGGAGTTAACTTAATGGCATGCCAGGCTCTGATGTGAGCTAACCTCATAAAGAGGCCCCATTATTGGGGTTTTCTGCACCATTTAAGGCATGTTAAGGGTGTCCAGTGAAGGATAACTCCAAACAAGTAGGTGAGGTGGTTACTTAATAACTTCTGCACTCCAGTAATGACTGTTCTGGTGACTGACCTGTCTGCTAGAGACTGTGGTTTTCCCTTCAGATTGCATAGTGAGATAGGAGTGGAAACATGGAAGTGTGGAGATGTCCACAGTGAATGTTGCTTAAGGTTGTCAAGACAGTGTTGCCTTGTGTGGATGGGCAGAGGTAACTACATGAGTGGTGCTTTCCTGGGTATAAACCTAGGAAGAGTTGGTTATGGTTGGCAGAATACACTGCATTGCATTTTGATTCATTTAATTTTCATTCAAAGCCAGGACAGATTCCTTTCATCTCTCAGCTGATGGGAAGACCCATTGAACAGCTCACAGATGGTGAAATGTTCCTGCCTCTTCAGTGAGCCCAAGTGTCACAGAGTTTCAGATGTATCTGAAGGTGTGGGAGAAAACTCCCAATTGCTTGGCAGTTTTTCCTCCTGTGGTGGCTCCCACCACCCCTGCTCAGCCATAATGCAGCTGGGAAATTTGGGAAGATGTTTACAGGGCTCCTGGGAGAGAAGGAGTCTGGTTAGACTTGGGCAGGAGTCCCTCTTCCCACACAGGTGGCTGCAGAAGAATTTTCAGTCTGGTTCAGACTGTGCATCCCTTGTGACACTAACATCTGGGAACCACCAGAGGCTGAGCACATAGAGCCAAATCTCCAATTCACAGGGGAAAACCACTGCCCAAGGCTGCAAGGGGGAAAGCTTTTATCAAGTCTTTGGCCTTTATAACCCACATATTCTTCATTAATTTCTTTTCTTCCAAAGAAAATTCAAAGCTATTTATACAAATCTCTTTCAAGAGACCAATTTTTCACAAATTGGAAGGCTTGTGGGCTTGTGGTTTTTTTTATGCAAACTGACTTAGCTTTGTCCTTTCCTGATTTCTTGTTGGGTTTTGGGGCAACAGCAGTTACACAAGACCTTGAAGGATTTCTCTGTCTCCATCAGAAGGATGAGTAAGTGTTGAAGAGGTGTAGTGTTAAAGGGATTATATACTGGGAACAAACCAAGTGGCTTGTAATGTGCCTCTGCTCAGAGATGCTGTTCCTTCCCGGGTTGGGGGTGGGAGTGGATCACAGTAACCACTTGCTCTTCAAAAATGTTTCAGTGAGCAGTTCAGCACACTCAGCAGTCTCCCTGGTGAAGCAGCAGCAAAGAGGACAGCTAATATTAGTGCTATTAGGGGTCTGAGCTTTTAATGCAAAGAAGCTTTCAACCCTTTCTGCTGCTGCCTGGTAACTAATTCATTCTACAGTCCTTATGCTCCATCTTTTCCTCTTGGCACTGAAGTTGGGAGCAGCTTATACTCTGTTGCTAAAGCTTTCCCCTCAGGAGCTGAATAAGGATAACAGAATTCTGGCTATTCAAAATCCAGAGCTGCAAACCTTGCAGAAGAGCCCCAGTGCTAAACACCTTGTCAGGACACTAATTCCCACAGCATTTGTGTGCAGTTACCTGTTGGCTGCAGCTGCAATAACATGAGCTTGAAATAATTTAATCATTTACTGCTGGCAACAGGATACAAAATAGATTTTAGTTATCTAAAATATGAGCATCTCTGCATTCAAAGAATAAATACAATGTAGTGAGATCTCCAGGAGCTACAGTCAGTCTCACTTTTTTTTTTAATCCTCTCCTTGTTACAAAATTCAGTGACAAGCAACTGTAAAAGGTAGCCAGACTGCATATGATGAGGAATTTTGGAAACTGTATAATGAGCATTTTCTAGACTAGTAATTAGCATGCCTGATAACTCAGAGAAAAGGAAATCATTGATACAAGGGAGGAATCAATTTCAGATTGAGGCTTTTAATTAGAAAAGTGCTGTGGAGCTTGTTGCTGGTCAGTAGAAGGTGATTAATCTAGATCTGTGGGGAATGGTGGAGTTTACACTGGTTAGAGTGAAGGCTCTAAGGTTTTGTCAGTGTTGGATCTCTGAGGAAATCTGGATTTATTTTTTTTTCCTCATGTTTGCCTGTAGTGCTCAGGTCCAGTGAGCTGAAAAATCATATCTATAGGTTTATTCTGAGCTGGGAAATACTTGTTTTCAGTGCTGTAGTACTCATGGCTCACTGTTTTGGAGAGGTCTGTGATTCTCAAAGTAGGCAGATGCCACACCTTGGAACATTCCCTTTGCTGGGCTGAAAACCATGCACAGTGCATGGGAAGTTTGTGCTCAAAGCATGTGATGAAAAACCACTTGCCATAATGGACTGCCTGGTACATAGCAATGGTCAAATCAGTTGCCAGGATAAGCTTTTAACTGGTTTCTGCTTGTGAGTCAGCTCTTGCTCCATGCTGGAAACCTGAGGCTGGACACTCAAGGGTGACTAATGTTTCTCTCTTCTGCTTTTTGCCCCTCTCCCCATAGCACTGATGCAGGTGACAGCCCTGTGGGCACAACGACCACTACAAACTTGGAGCAGACACAGGTCATTCCATCTCAGGGTGACCTCCTGGGTGACCTCCTCAACCTGGACCTGGGACCCCCTGTGAATGTTCCCCAAGTGTCCTCCATGCAGATGGGTGCTGTGGACCTCCTGGGAGGAGGGCTGGACAGCTTGGTAAGCAGCATCCTTTTTAGCTGATGTGAAATAATTGGAGCTGTGCTTATCTCTGCAGAGCCTTTATTTGTGCTTTTAATGCTTGGATCACTGAGCTCCCAGTGCTGAGTCCTGAAATTCCCAAGAGGATTTAACCAGTGCTATTGTCCCGACTTTCAGCAGGTTTTTCCTGCTATAAAAGCAAATGTTGCTGCATGCTGTAGAATCCCCATGGTCAGTGGTTATATTTGTTCTGTGCTTTTTCTGTCTGTAGAAGAAAACCAAAAAGTTGCTTTAAGGACATAAAGTGTTTCACTGCTTTGTATTTGATTCAGACTCCCTTTCAAGAAGGCATTTATTCCAGCCAGTTCCCAGCCCTCCTGAATTTCAGTGCAAAGCTCTCGGGCTGTAACCCTGTGTCATCCCGTTTGGATATTCTCCAGACTATGTCATGGCTTAATATCAGTGACATTTTAATTGCAGTGAGGTCAAGAGAGAAGCATTCTGTGTAGTTCTCCCCATGCCACAGAGGCTCATGAGGTACCTCTCTGGTACTAACAGAGTCAGGCTCCAGTGGGAGTAATCACTCCTTGCTTCCACTCTAGGGAATGGGCTGGGCATGAGCTGCAATGAGAAAATCACTTAGCAAGGAGACTGCAGCAGTGGAGAGGTCAGTGGTGTGGTCTTATGCTGGTGGCAGCCAGGCATTGAGGAGTGGTGAACATAACAATCAGCCTGGGAGCTGTTCCCATGGTGGGAGCACAGCACACACATCCCCAACACCCTACTTTCTTGCCTACAGGGATAAGAAGCAGTTTGAGCTGTATTTTCAATGTGTAACCGTACTATTTTTTTAATGTGCAACCTGAGTAAGACTACCCCCACTGAACACAGCTGGGTGGCTTTCAGACCTGCAGTGGATTTGTCTTGCTTTGTCTTGAGCTTTGGCTTGTAGTGAACTGAGTTGGGCTATCTGTGCCTGCTTTAGGTGTGCTTTCAGTTCTGAGTCAAGCTCTGAATAACAGAGGTGGGAGGCAGCTGGATATGAACTCCAGTGCAACAAATCCTTATTTGTCAAATATGTACTCTTTTAAGCTGCCATAATCTTATTAAAGCAGACATTAAATACAATTCCAGCTCCAGCACTTTGTGAGCTAATGAACTGGAAGCAACCTAACCCATAATGGCATTGGTGGAGGTCAGATGTGCTCTGTCCTGTCTAAACAGCAGTTTGTTTAGCAGGGAAACTGCTTTTACACTGAGTATCATCTCCCTGGGCAGTAGGGAAATGGTTAAGCTGGAGTTTCTGGGAAAGAAAACAGTGAGCCCAGAGCAGTGACCTGTGCAACCTTTCCCTGTATTGCAAGAGGTGCCACTAAGAACCTGGGACTGGTAATTGTGTTAAGGCAGTACAGAAAATGGTACTGGCTGTGGTGACACAGAATGGTTAGCACTTAAATTCCTCTGTCTGTGCTGTCTTTCAGGCCACTTACAGTAACCCTTTGTTTCTCATTAGTGTCAGACAAATAAATGGACACAGTAGAACTAAAACTTGGTTTTGGGAGAAGAGCTGTCTCATGGTTGGCATTAATGGGCTTAATTTAGTGACCTGCTTTGACAGTGGAGCTGTTAGTTGATATGGTACTAGGCTTTTACTTAATGCTTTTCTCAAGCCTTAAGTAAATCCATGGGGTTATGGAGTGTGATCTGACAAAATGATCATGTCTGGACAGGGAGTAGCTGTGCCTCAGGCTGCAAGGGCCAGCACTGTCTCAGCTGAGTAACTAGATGGGGCAAGCATTAAAAAAGATCTGAATGTCAGTGGAGTTTTGGTGGTGGATGCTTTCTGCTGAAGTGCTGTTAAATCAAAGCTCCAGCTTTTCCTTCCCTAGTGCAGATGTTGCCAATGACACCAAGTTGGGTGGGAGTGTTGGTCTGCTTGAGGATAGGAATGCTCTGCAGAGGGATCTGGACAGGCTGGAGGCCAGTGGTGTGAGGTTCAACAAGGCCAAGTGCTGGATCCTAATTTGGGTCACAACCACCCCATGGAATGCTCCAGGTGTGGAGCAGAGTGGCTGGGAAGTTTCCTGGTGAAAAAGTACCTGGAGGTGCTGGTCATTGGTGACTGAACATGAGCCAGCAGTATGTCCAGGTGGCTGTCAAAGCCAAGGGCACCCTGGCTTGTATCAGCCATAGGGTGGCCAGCAGGACCAAGACAGTGACCATCCCCCTGTGCTGGGCACTGGGGAGGCACCTTGAATCCTGTGTTCAGCTTTGGGCCCCTCTCTGCAAAAAGGACATTGAGGTGCTGGAGCATGTCCAGAGAAGGGAATGGAGCTGGGGAAGGGTCTGGAGCACAAGTCCTATGAGGAGAGGCCAAGGGAGCTGGTGGGACTCAGCTTGGGGAAAAAGAAGACTCAGAGGGGATCTTCTCACTGTCTAGAACTTCCTGAAAGGAGGCTGTAGCCAGGTGAGGGTTGGCCTCTTCTCCCTGGTAAAAAGTGACAGGATGAGAGGAAACTACCTCAAGTTGCTCCAGGGGAGGTTTAAATTGTATATTAGAAAAAATCTTTTCACCAAAAGGGCCATGAAACCGTGGCACAGGCTGCCCAGGGCACTGGTGGAGTCACCATCCCTGCAGGGCTTTAAAAGACATGGAGATGTGGCCCTTGGGGAAGTGGTTTAGTGTGGTGGTGGCAGTGCTGGGGTAACAGTATGATCTTTTCCAACCTAAAAAGAGCCTTTGATAATAAGCCTAATTAGTGAGTGAATGTGATCTGTGTCTTTATTGTTGTGGGCAAGTGTCAAGCTGGGTTAACCCTATCCTGGTATTAGCCAAATTGCTAGGCAGTGTCTCTGGGCTGCATGGCTTGCCAAGAAGATTGGCTTTTGGATCTCAGGCCAGTATAAGCCACATGTGTGCTGTGCCAAAATGAGTCTCAAACTGCAGGTACCACATGCCTGATTTTTCTGTATGTGAGGAAGAGGCAAGCTGCATCCCAATGTGCCCCTTGAAAAAGGGCTGAACTCTTCACCCTTCACCAGGGATCTGATGAAAAATGACTGGGAGCAAGGGATGCCTGAATTGTTCTCCTTTGAAGTTTCCATGACTCCTAAAGTCTTTTTAATGTGTTTCTTCTCCTGCTTTGCTGGGTAGACTGAAACTCCATACTCTAGCTTGAGGTGTGGTGTGAGCAGTCACCCTCCCCTCTGGCATTCTCTCTCAGCCTCAACCTCTCTGAGCAAGGACCCCAAGCCCCACTTCTACTTTCCAAGCAGTTATTTCTTATCTAATAGAAGCCAAAATAAGCCTGTCTGTTCCAGTGGGATAAAGTGGTTTGAGGTGTGCTCGAGTTGATGCGTGAAATCATGGTCCGTTGCTGTGATGGTGAGATTGCATCCATACTGTGAGCATCCCAAAGGCAGCTGAAGGTCTGGAAGAGGCTGCTGGCAGGATCTCAGCCAGTTTGTCACATTTGCTCAGTGTCATATGTTGATCCCCTCTTCTGCCCCCTTTTCTTTGGAAGGGTGTGTGTCTTCAGAGGGTTCTTGCAGTGAAAGCCCCAACATGAGTAACCCAGAAAGATCAACAGCAGCATTAACTTCATGATAAATGTCATTCTGCATTTCCATTTCTTAAACTGTGGGGGTTTATTTTTCTTTCAGACATTTAAATAGAGACTGCATGGTGTAGAACTGGATAAACACCGAATTAATATTGTTCGTTTAAATTTTCCTCAGCATTGCTAGGTATTTATCCCCATGACCAGTGAGACTCCAGCTGCTTGAGAGGTTAATTTCTTTAGTGAATAAATCTTATTTTATTTCCATACTGAGTGCAGTAATTGGTATTAAATGTAACATGCATGCACAGATGCTGAGCATGTGTTAACAATTGGAAAAAAAAGAGGAGAAAAAGGGCCTTTGGTACAAGAACAAGATATGCTTTGCTTGTAACCAGATCAGACTTGCTGTATGGCTTATGGAGAGCTGTTCTGTAGTGAACAGAGCCAGTTTGGATTGTGTCCCTCTTTACCACCTTGGGCAGATCTCTGCTCCTTTCTTTTCTATAAAGTGTTGACTAATGCCACTTTACAAAACTATTTGAGATCTCCAGCTCAACAGTGTAAAGCATAGTCATACAAGTTACTAATGTGGGAGAAACAAAAATTCCTGGGACAGCAAATTACTGGATGCAGCATTGTGGAGTTTGATGCTGTATCCCCTTGAACCCAGCCCTTAACTTCCTGCAGGTTACAGACACCCTTCCAACTTTTACTTGCTGTTGATGCAGTGCTTTGCAGGATGTCTGTCTGTGCTGGCATGAGCCAGGATCATTTTGCCTTTAAACCTTTTTGTGTGGTCATTTGCTCTGAAAATCCACTGAGCAGAAGAGGTCTGTGCTGCCTGGCAAACTGTGCAGCTCCCTGTGAGCCTGAGCATTTAACAGGAGCAGGGCACTGTGGCCAGGAGCCAGGGAGGCTGGCTTGAAACCCAGGGGCAGAGCAGTAAATCTGTAGGAATGGACAAGCTTGGATTGTCTGTTATGTAAGGATTTTATTTAATACTCTAGCCACTCATTTACAAGAATATTATTGATTCAGGACTGGCAGCTGGGCATATTGATTTATGCCCTAAATTAAAAAGCTGTTTGATAAACACTGGATATCTGCAGTTTTCTCTAATACCTGGACTGGTTTGGGTTGTTCCAAGTGGATCTGTGTCCCTCTGTGTAACCAGGTTGGATGTAAGTGGGTCTGACCCCAGGGGTCCTGTCTGCATGGGTCAGGGCTGTGTCCCACCACTGTGCTCTGCTGTGGTATGGAGGGTGGGACCTAAGCACCAGTTCACCCACTTCCTAAGAGTGTCCTGAGCTCCAGGCACCTGTAGGCTTGGCAATCTGGGAAGAAATCCCTGCTGCAGCATCCTAAGTGCCTGCCTCACCCGAAAGGCTGGTGTGCAGAGGCTGCTGGTGTTGCTCCTTCCTTGTCTGCTTTCAAGTGGAGAATTCAAAGTCTGGC